GGAGGAGAGCTATGGGGGGAAAAAAGAGGAACAACTGTAATAATCTGAACAATAAAGATTTAATTTTTTAAAAAAGTGGTATAGGACACACATACATACGCATATACATATATGTATTTTTAAAATCAGGGAGTCTTAATCTCCCCTCCCTTCCCCCGCCCCCTTTTTTTTACCTTTTTCTGGAAATAATTATAGAGTCACAGATAGTTGCATAGATAGTACACAGTGGTCCTGTATCCCTTTCACCTAGTTTTCCCCATTGGTTACATCTTAAATAATTAAAGTCTATTAAAAAAACACCCAGAAAACTGACCGTGGTGTATACTGGGTCTGTGTAGTTCTGTGTCATTATATCACGTGTGTAGATCCAGGTAATCAGGATATAGAATTAATGCATTCCTTTCAATGCCAAGGATACTTTTACCAGTTGAGTTTCTGGAAGAGAGAAGGAAGACAAACTTCATATTTAGTTTGGGCTTTTCACTTGGCTGGGATATTTAAGCTGTGGTTCATAGTTTGAGGCGGCGTGGAAAGCCGGACGAGTCAGCAGAACTGATGGAGGACGTTGATTTTGTAGGTGTCTAAGCAGGCCAAAGAGTTTCTGGAGTACGTGTACGAAGAGCCCCTGATCGACATCCAGCAGGAGAACCCCATGCTGTACCTGCACGCCGAGCCGCTGGCCACCGTGGTGCGCCTGCGGCAGCGGCTCAAGTCACTGCGAGCCTATTTGTTCAGCTGCCGGGCAGCCGTGGCCGAGGACCTGCGCCGCAGGTAAGAGGCATAAATGTCAGATGGCTCCAGTTTGTTTTTCTTTCCTGCCCTGGGAGGGTGGTGACATGATCTCTAAGGGCCTTCCCAGCACAGACCGGCTGGAATTCTGTGGTTCTGCCTCTGGGCTCATCTTGGACATTTTCCTCTGAGGTCCTCTATCCGACTGAGCCAAGCAAAATGGAAATAATACCTCAGCATAACTGCAGGCGTTTAACCCAAGGCCCGAGTTCCCAAGACAGTGAAGCCTTCTCTTACCTGTAGGTTAACTTGAGAGAATGTTGGTGGCAGTGTCTCTTCATGGACCCCTTCTGTGGTGTTTCCCACTTTTCCCACTTTCAGTTCCTATTTATCATCAGTAAAAATAAGCATGTTTGAAATATTTCATAACTTAAAAACATTTTTCAGTGGGAAATAAGTAGGTGGTTATGGAAATCTTATTTTCCACAGAGAGAGAAACTTGCTCAGCGATGCAGGCGGTAGGGCCAGGACGGAAATGCACAGGCCCACATTCGGCCTTTCATGCTCCCGTCGGTGCAGGCTTCCTGCAGCTTGTTGTCTCCGAGTTCAGAGAACTCACAAGTCCATACCGGGCTCAGATCTCTAAATCAAATCGCAGTGAAAATGTGCCTGCTCTCATCAAATTCCTTCTTTTACAGTTAGATTTTATTGGCATTTAAATTTTCACTCTTGGCTTATACAGACTAGCTTATACTTGACATAATTGTTGATGGTGTTCATAAGTCCCTAAAAATACCTTTTAATTTTTTTTTTGTTTTAATAGAAATGACCAAAGCATATATTAGTCATGGGTTTTGGAGGTACGCCTATGTGCATAAGTACCTTTGGAAAGTATTAAAAGTGATATAGTTTGCTATTTGAGATCCAATTAGAATCCAAAGACACTGACATAACCCCAGGCATCTGAAGAAGACATTTTTAAAAGAACTAAATGTAGATAGTGAAGAATACATAATATGTAGACAAGCGCTCATAAAATAATAATGAAAAGGCAGCTGCCATAAAGCAAAATACCTCTCAGTGGTAGTCATTCTACTACCTAGTTGTTTTTTAGAAAGCACTAGAAAATGGTCAGGATTTGTTCTTATAAAGTCCAGGCACATCTTAATTCTAAAACATCAGGGCTTTTCCTGAAAGGCAGTAGAATTATATGTCTCCAACCAATTTACCAACTAAACTATATACAAGAATTTTAACATTCAAAGTATTTTCAGTACCTTTTGGCTTTCCTCAAAGCTTATTTTTCTTGAGCCTATATAATTAGGTAATATTAAAATCTGTACATGGGAATTATGTTAGATACCTTTCTGATATAGTTTTACTTTGGTTAAATATGCCAAATCAGGGCACGCATTTAGAAATTAAATAGGAGATCCTCCCTCCATATGGATGACTAAGAATACCTATGCTGTTCCCACTGTCTGGTGGTTTACCACCCTGTACTGCACCCATGGCCAGGCCACCAGGAAAGGAATGGAGGTTCTAGAGAGAAGGCATTCCCAACCAAGCCTGTGAGAATGAATACAGTAACTTTCTTCTTTCCCTTGATTTTTCTTCTCTGGACTTGTTCATGACCATTATGTAGTGCATGCCTCGCACAAGGTAGGTGCTTACTAAAGGTGGATAGGTGGAAGGAAAGAGGGAGAATGAATGGGTATTATGGTGTCACTTCAGACCACTGAACAGCGGCCAGTAGCCTGATTTTGAGGAAGGAGTCATCTTCAGATTCTTCTCTTCCTTACTCCCCTGTATGTTACTTAGCACAGCGTCTAACCCATCCAGACCCCTTAAAAATAGTTGTTGAATAACAAATCTAATCAGTCAAAAAGATGTATTTAGTTGGTTCTGTTTCTGGGATAAGTCTCAAATCTGTCCTCTCCTCACTTCCAGTACAGCACCTGGTTTAGTCTCAGGATACTGCAGTATCCTTCTGTCTAATCTTCGCACAAGACAAATTATTAAATAACAAGTATGGAATTCAGGATCTGCCCAAATCTGGTTCATTATATTGCTCTATAAGATATTCTCTAATATCTTGCACTTCACACACAAATAATTAATTTTGTTATTGTAGTTTCTCTGTACTTATAGGCTTGAGGTTACCATGTCTTTCCAACCTGGCACAGAGTAAAATATACCAGTAACAAGCATTCTTTCTACAGCCTTTTCGGCGAGGGGGCCGGGGGGAGAAGTATGGGGATTTGTCTTCTTGAATGACTTCAAATCATGTTTACTAATTTTGAAATATGACTATTTAGTGAAAGATGTCTAAGATTTTCTGGGCTGGGCCATACTTAATATCAATTCTGCCTACTTCAGTGTCTACAAAAATAGCCACAGATACAAAGGAGAACCACTGCCCACCTAATATGCTAATATCCTGTTGCCAGAGGTCATCTCTTACCTATCGTTCACTTTTATATGGAATCTGACTTTTTAGAATAATTAGCTGGCAGTTCCTTTAGAGATGAGAAGCTTCCCCGACAGCAATATCCAAGGTTCCTTTTGTGTCACCTGGGGATACAACAAGAGTGGAAGAGTTTAAACAGTGAGGAGAACCTCTGGGCCCTACTGATCTTACATATCCTTGATAGAAATTAAAAGAGCAAAGAAAAATCCAGCTCTTATCTGGTCGTAAAAGGCATTCTCTCCTTGCCTGGTTTTTACCTCGGTAGAGGAGTAGCCATTAATCTCCAGCAAGTAGGCCCAACATGCTGAAGACTTGTCAGCACCATATAAACAGAATAAAGCAAACTGTTAATATTGCTGTCGTGAGAAAACTGAAAACAGACTGATTAATTGTATTGGCGCTCGCCCGCCAGGGAGCCAACTTTGGTCGTCGCCTTATTAGGGAAGTCACAGTTTGCTTTCAGGCCTTTCATTATGATGGCCGGCCAGTTTTCATCCTCACTGTTTTTGTTATTGTTGTTAAATGAATGCCTTGTTCTTGAACTCATACTGCAAATCTTGACTGGCAGTGGTAATTAGTTAGAAAAAGTCAGTGTCTTCCATGAAGTCTAGAATGTTTACAGTGCTGACAGTTCCGTTTCTGAGGACTCCCAGATGGCGACCCTGCTGGACTGGTTCAAGGCCTAGTTCACTTTTCATGAGAAGAGTTATTTACAGTGTCCACACGTGAAGGTGCATGAAGAACTGTGGAAAGTGGAAGCTCTGTCAGGGCACATTCGGAGCAGCAGCCATCGGGGGAGTCTTTGGGAAGGCCCAGCCCTGAGTGTCCCACTGAACACACGAGCAGTGGGATAAATGTGCACATCAAGTCACAAAGGGCACCTCGGGGCCAAGTTTGGCCCTTAGACATGGCCTTTCAGGGATGCCCCCTATTGTTGAAATAGCTCAGCCGGCGTGGCTCAGTGGTTGAGCATCGACCTATGAACCAGGAGGTCATGGTTTGATCCCTGGTCAGGGCACATGCCTGGGTTGCGGGCTCGATCCCAGTGTGGAGTGTGCAGGAGGCAGCCAATCAGTGATTCTCTCTCATCATTGATGTTCTGATCTCTCTCTCTCCCATCCTCTCTGAAACCAATAAACATATTTTTTAAAAAGTTCTTAAAACAGTTGCTAACATTTCAATAATCAGGAGTTTTCACGAACACACAAAGGGAAGCTGGCCGTCTGGTTTCTCTGAGGAAATCGGAAGCTCTGATTGCAAGGCCTCCCTCGTGTCTGGCGAGCAGCCCTCAGCTTGAGGTCCTGGCCCCTCCACTCTGCTGTGGTCTCTGTGCCCCTGCTGTCTCCCCAGACTCAGTGCCATGTGCTGTGAGATAATGGCTGCCCTGGCTTTCCTGTCCCAGCCCACTTCAGTTATTGCTGTTGGTACCTGGGCCCGTACGTAATCATGATTTGATCAATTAAGAAGAACTTCCCCATAAGTATGTTATTTGTTCTTTACAATAGCCCCCTTGAATGGGTAGGACAGGTGGTATTTAGACAGAAGAGAAAGGACTCGGAGATGCTACATGACTTGCCTGAGGTGACGGGGCTGGTGAGCAGGAGGGTCCACGCTCGGAACCAGGTTTTCTGAGGCTCACATCGCTGCTACTTTCTTTCCCTGGCGAGCTTGCCATTGGTGAGGGTGATGTCCAGAGGTCTCCAGGCTCTGAAGAGGAACTGCTTTTAATTCTCCTGAAGCCTCGATTGAGGTCCTTTGGGAGAGTGTGAGGGAAGGCAGGGAGGGGCAGGAGTACTGTCCCGTGAGTGGGGAGGTGGGCTGGCTGATGGCACCCCTGCGCTCTCTGCCAAGCTCAGCCAGTCCTGCAGGGTAGACATGACCATGGCTCAGCACGGTCTCTCTAGTCGGTGTTGACCAGACCTTTGCGTTTCACAGACCTGTACATTTAAAACAAAAATGTGGAGATATCTATAGGGTTGTCGTATATAAATGTCTGTAGCCAAAACAAATGTAAAACATTGCCACCCGTTTCTTACTATCATTTCATAAAAGAACATAGTAACACTAAAAAAAATAGACAGCTTTATAAAATCAAATAGATTTAACTTTATTCTACTCTTCTTTTTTCTTCTTCTCATTTTATCTTGGACTACTAAAAACATCACCAGACCGATACCAGCTGTTTGGAGCAGCTTTTCAGAAATCCTGATTTAAGTCATATTTTCTCTTCTGAGTGAAGTGAAATCATCCAGTCCAGGGAAAGACATCCTAGAAATGAATGTGGATGCTGTGTGTTTCCCAGTCTCTATCAAAACATGATTTGGGGACCTGGGGAGCCCGCTGACTCCAAAGTCAAATTTATATTATCATATAATTTAAAACTGGTTTCTCTCCGACACTTGTTGAGGCCAATAGTCAATATTAAGCCTATTCTCTCAGTTGCTTAGAACAGAATCGGGTCAGTTTGGGGAATACTAGTACATTAGTCCTACTTGTTTGTCAAGTTTAGTCCTTAGACCATTCGGAAACAATTTAACAGCTTAATTGGGAGTCTCAAGAGAGTATGAAAAGTGATTCTTCTACCGCCTAAACCACCTCTTCTGTTTTTGATTTCACATTTTGTTTGAAGTTATACTTATATCCAGCATTAGTTCTCAGTGACATATCAGCTTTACTGAATGATGAGAAATATCTATCATAAAGATTCCCATTGTTATTAACATTACGTATCCTGGTAAGTACCAGAAAAAAAAAAAAAGGAGTGTGCACGGGGGTTGTCAGAATCTCAATGTGTCCTTCAAGCAAAATTTAGCAGCTTGCTAAGTTCTTAGAGGAATCCCCATAAGTGCCACCTGATTTATCAAGACCCCCTTCCCCCTCCTTCCCTTGTTCCCCCAGGGAGAGCTGTCTTTCTCTAGAGTTCACTGGAGGGAGGCTATGTTCAAAGGTTAATGTGTCCTTTGGCCTCCTATCAAGGTGTCCAAACCTGAGCTCCCGATATCCCTGCCCCGACTCCTGTTGCTAACTGTTCCTCTTGCAGGCTTTCCCCTCGGGCATACTGGCACCTCCATCCATCCAGGTGTGCAGGCTGAACTCCTTTCACATTCTACACCCAGCCCATCAGCAAATCCTGTCAGTTTCCCCTTCAAAGTATATCCACTCGTCACCACCTCCACTGCTACCACCTGGGTCCAAGCCAGTCTTGCCCCTGAATTATTGCAGTACTGGTCTCTCCCTTCAGTCTGCTCTTAAACTGCAGATCAGTAGTTTTATTGCTAGCTTTACCCAGTGGCCAGATAAGGTTCTATTGAACGAGTACAAAAAACATTTTACATAAATGTTATAGGCACGCTTTAAAATTAAATACCCATTGCATTTTGAAGTTATTTATTACAGGTCCTTACAAGCTAATATCTTTTTAAAGTATGATACTTTATAAAAAACACTGTGTAATATGAAGCCAGAGTTCTCGTGGTCCGTCCGCAGTGTGTTAAGACCACAGCTAGAGTTTACTAGATGATGCCACCCCTGATCCTAATGATCTAATAGCTTCACCTCTTGCTCCAAGTAAAAGCCAAGGTCCTATGTGGCCCCGTGCCCCATGGCCCCTCATTGACTCTGTCCCAGTCACACTAGGCTTCCTGTTGAGCACACCAAGCTGGCTCACTTGTCCCTCGCCTCCCCTGTCCCCGCCCAGATAACTTGCTTCCTTACCTCCATCATGTCTTTCCTCAGCTCACCTTAATGAAGCATCTTTGGCCACTCTATTTAAAATCGCAACCAATGAGTAGTAAAGTACAGCATAGGGAACAGTCAATAATATGTAATAACTATGTATGGTGTCCAATGGGTACAAGACTTAGGGAGTGATCACCTCGTAAGGTATATAAATGCTTAATCACTATGCTGTACACCTAAAATTAATATAATGTATGTCAATTGTAATTGAAATTTTTAAAAAAAGGAACATTAATCTGAAATTTTTTTTTTAAATTTGTAACCATTGTCACACACTTCCTGTGCTTATTTCCTTCTGCTTACTACCACATAGTGTGGTATTTTATTTTGTCTGTCTCCCTCTCCTCCCTCCAGATGTAAGCTACAAAAGGGCACGGCTTTTTATCTGTTTTGTTCACTGCTGTCTCCCCAGGGCCTAGACCATACCTGACATATAGTGGGGGCTAATCAGTACTTGTTGAATAAATTAATTCAGTGAATAATGTACTATCACCAAGATCCACCCACTTAATTTGGCCAAACTTATTTTTTTTCTTATTACAAAAGAAAAATATTGTTCACTATAGAAAACTAAAATAAGAAAGCCACACATTATTCTACCACTTTGGTGCATATCCTTCCAGATGTTTTCCTCTAAGCTTTATACTGTACTTGCTACTTTTAACCCAACCCCTTCACTTAGTATGTTGTATCTTTTTATGCCAGTTACTATTTGCCTAAAGCATCATGAATCACTGAGTGAAAATGGTGTTTTGATAGTTTTGAAAGCAGTCATTCTCACTCTGCATCAAGAATTCCCTTTCCCTTGGATGACTCTAGAACTAAAGTGTTCAAGTCATCCAACCTTCTGATCTCCTCGTAGCTCCTCTCCCTTCATGTTCTCTAGAGATCTCACTCAGCAAGTTATATACATACCAACATCAACACTCTAAAAGGGGCCTGCAGACTCTAAAAAAGGCATTGTCACTCAAACTAAACACCTAAATAAACTTTGAAAAAGAACGGACAAATTATATATTAATTTTACTATAATATACACATAGCCTTTTACTTACTGAGAAATCCTTCAGAAAGTTAGAAAGGGCTTTTATCTTATTCTGAGATTAAATTAAATATACATAAGTTTTCTAAAAGACAACAAAAAAATAACACATATTGCAGGAACTGTTAAAAAAAATACCGTAAGAATTTGAGATAGGATCTTTACTAACTGTCCTATAATCTCTCACCGTTATCACCAGACCCCGGAATAATCACAACCAAAATGACTTCCCAAGTATCCCTACTCCAGGGAGATTGTTGCTAAGAAACTTAAGCACAATTTCTGAATGAGCGGGCGAAAGAGACCCTTATTTCCCATAATCATCTACCAAGATGTAATATCCGATGTGATCTTGCCACTTTTTCAGCCAATGAGACTAGCAAAATGAGTTACCTAGGAAAAAATGATTGAAGTTTGTTTCTTCCACATGGGTTGCTATCAAAATATCTGCCTTTGATTTCAAATTGTTTTTCCATTAGCTGGGAGCACGGCTGGGCATATGAGTCCTGTCCACATCCAGCCTAATGTAACTATTTCAGGAAGACCTACAGCTCATAGCAAGAACACCAAATTGCATCTCTCGGGGGATGCTTCGCAGTAGTTTGTGTGCTTTTGGTGTGGGCGCCTGTGCCCTGCAAAGGAAAGACACCGAGGCTCTCAACTCGGTACCAATTACCCACCTGGAGCACCTCTTCCTGGAAAACACAGTAATAATACACGAATAAACGATTTTTCTTTCTGCATTATTCCTTAGGCACCTCTACCCATAGTCTTCCTATAGGCCCTTATGATTTAGAATCAAAATTAGAGATTTTCCTTTGATGTGTTTCATTTCCTGTGTGTGTGTGTGTGTGTGTGTGGAGAGGGGGAGAGAGAGGCGGGAGGTTCTTTAAAGCCTATCGCCTATCACATGTGTTGTGATATTTTCATCATTTTAATCATTGGGTTTTTATCTATTTGACATTGGTTAATAAAATACGTGCTTCAGGTGCACATGCTACAACACATCATCTGTATATTGTATTGTGTGTTCACCAACCCAAGTCAAGTCCCTTCCATCACCATTTATCCCCTTTCCCTCTGGCAATCACCATATTGTTGTCTGTGTCCTTGAGTCTTTTTTTCTTGCTTAATCCCTTCACCTTTCTCACCCAGCCTGCAGCCACCTCCCCCCTGACAGCTATCAGTCTGCTCTTTGTTAGTTTATTTTGTTCATTAGATCCCACATATACACGAAATCATACGGTACTTGTCTTCTCTGACTTATTTCACTCGGCATAATGCTCTCCAGGTAATCGGTGGGTTTTTACATGCCAGCTGTGCAACTCTAAGAGCCGAGCTCCAGGGAAATGGCGATGTCATTAAATCCATCAAAATCCTGCAAACGGTCTGCCTACTTCAGAGCCCACTTAGTTCCTTTTCTCTCGTGAGCATCAGGCTTGTGGGAGCCGAGTTGAAGTCCTCAGAAATTAGTCAGGTTAAATGAGTCTTGATGTGTTTGACTCAGTGTCCTGGTATGAAATGGAAGGAGGAATCCCCTACCTCTTTTGTAAAGACTCCTGCCTTTGATTTCATAGGCAATTATCTCTGCATTTTTAACCTCAGGTGCCAACTGCGTAATATAAGGGCTCTGAATCATATATGATCTTTTCCCTCAGTTTTCATCTTCTCTCACCTTTCTCATTAGAGCAATCTATAATGAAGCCTACGTTACCATCTCGGTGTGCCAGGCAGTCCTAAAGGTGATGAAATAGAACATGTTGGCACTGGGAGTGATTGTGCGGGTTGGGTTTCGTGGTCCTTTAGCAGCTTTCTTCCTGGTTCTTCGGTGTCAGAGGCCCTGCCCGTGCCACCTGCCAGTGATGGGCGAGTGGAGTGCAGAGCCGACTCCCCTCAAGTTTGTCTGGTGTCAGGACCGAGCGGTGAACTGGCATTGGCAGGAGCAGGGTTGTCCTCGGGGCTGGCCTGCTGGAGAGCCTGTCAGCCCTGATGACTAACAGGCCTGCGGTACAGCGAGGTCACCTCATGGACAGAACACCCGAGGTCACTTCATGGACAGAACACCCGAACACGGCAGTCTCATCAGAAAGCAAAGGCAGCGCCCACTGCAGCAGAAACCTGCTCCCCAAGCGACTGCTGAGTCAGGTAGCGTCAGTG